TAGCAGTTATCAAGAATACAAACAACAATAAACGTTGGTGATGTTGTGAGGGGAAAGGCACACTCATACATTGCTAGTGGACTCCAAATTTGCAACCAATCTGGAAAATACTATGTAGATTCCTTTAAAAACTTGGAATGGAGCCACCATTTGACCCACCTATCCCACCCTTGGTCTATACCCAAAGGACTTTAAAACAACACACTACAGTGACACAGCCATATCAATGTTTATAGCAGCACAATTCACAATAGCCAAACTGTGGAACCAATCTAGAGGCCTTTCAATAGATGAATGGATAAAGAAACCATGGTATTGTATATATACACAATGGAATATTGCTCAACAATAAAAGAGAATAAAATTATGGCATTGGGAGTAAATGGATTGTATTAGAGAATATCATACTAAGCAAAGTAAGCCAATCCCCCAAAAAACGAAAGGCCAAATGTTTTCTCTGATAAGTGGGTAAGAATCCAAAGTGGGGGGCTGGGGCATGTGATGAGTGGAGGAACAGGGGAGGGGAGGGGCAAGGGAATAGGAAAGATGCTGGAATGAGACAGACATCACTACCCTAGGTACATGTAGGATGCACAAATGGTGTGACCCTACTTTGTGTTCAATCAGAGAAAACAAAATTGTGATCCATTTGTTTACAATGAATCAAAGGGCATTCTGCTGACATCTATAACTGATTAGAACAAATAAATAAAATAAACTTAGGACTACAAAAACTTAAAAACATAAGAAAAAAAAGCAGGATTGAAACAGTGCGAGAAATGGTTTGCTTTTCCTATGCTGTCCTTTCCCCCAATTGACACGAAACCACACGCAGCCCATCCCCCTACACACAGGGTTTCTACAGTGGAAAATGTGAGGTGGAGGTGGACTTTCAGCTTCACCACCATTCTGGAGCCCTTCACAAGAGGCAGACCTCTGTCTTGCCTCCCCACACACACACAAAAAAAAAAAAAAAAAAAAAAACAGAGAGCACTTGCAGAAGTGGATCAACTGGAGAAACTATAAAGAAACAAAGAGGAGCTCACAGCAAAAGATGTGCAGATCTTGGTGGTTGCCCTTTGCTGTGGCTCAGGGAACACTGTAAAATTCTGACCTATGTAGGACAGCTGTGGCAATCCTGGGCATGGAACTAATGGTCCAACAGCTGTAGCAGAGAGACCAATCCAGATAGTCTGATGGGACTTTATGAACAGGATGCCTGTTGGAAAACCTCACAGAATAAAGTTAACTAGGAAGATTGGAATAAATATACATATTTCAAGCATTATAGTGTCCATGACAAATACACCCAATAGTATCTGTCCACTTTTTAAAAATTAAAGCCTCAATTAGAAATAAAAGAGAGCCAGGTGTGGTGGTGCATGCCTGGAATCCAAGCAGGTCTGGAGGCTGACGCAGGAGGATTGCAAATTCAAAGCCAGCTTCAGCAATTTAGTGAGGCCCTAAGTAAGCAACTTAGTGAGACCCTCTTGCTACATAAAATATAAAAAGGGCTGGGTATGTGGCTCAGTTGTTAAGCACCCCTGAGTTCAATCTCTGCTACCATCCACCCACCAGTACTCCCAAATTTATATTTTTTTCCACAACACATGACTAAACCAGTCAGAATCACTCCAGATGTATTAGCCGGGCATGAAATAATCACACAAAGACAGAGAAAATACCTTTTTCTTTGGGTTCTGTGATGGGTCCTCTGACTCAGCTCTCACAAAGAGGGAAAGGCAGTCAAGAAAGAGAAGGAGCACACCTCAAACCTGGGTTTTATGGGGGAGGCTGTTCAAAAGAACATTCCACCCATATAAGGCAGAGGGGTAATGTTACAAGGGGCAGCCCACTCCCAAAGCTGTGCTCCTCTGCTGAGTGGAAATGGGGATCCACCTGCCTCCTGGTCAGGGAAGCCAGTCTCCACATTCCCATCTCTCAAAGCTAGGGGGCGCTCAGCTCCCATGTGGCAGCTCCCAACATATATTCACATTTAACAATCAAACAATTAAAAATATAGCCTATAGACTGCATAAATTATCTCCCCCATGCAAGCCTGCATCCTCTGGTATTAGCCACACATTCAAGATAAAAAATTTTATGGGATTATTTGTTATCCTCCCAGGAGTCTTAACACAATTTCAACACATGTACTGGGAATGTATTGTCCACCGGAAATTCTCTTACTTTTACATTCACAATGAATACTGTCACATTCTTGTTGAGAAAAGTTGTACCACTTTGCACTCCTACTATAGTTGTTGTAGGGACAAACGAGACAAGGCACCAAAGACAACAGGAAACAGTTTTATTTGGCTGCAGCCAGGTTCAGAGGGCACAGCTTTTGCTATAATCAATCAATCCCCTGAACCAGGCCGCCTCAGAATTTTACACCCAGCATGTAAGGGGAGGGGCTCAGAAGTTCACATAAAAACAGCCTTCCCTTTCACTGCCTTGGGCAAACCAACCCCCAAGGACAACACCCGAGAAAGGGAGAGCTTCTTCTCCCCTTTCTTTCCTGCCCCTGCCAGCTGCCACCAGGGAGCCCAATTGCAACTTATCTGAAAAATGTAGACATCTCTGTGAAGCCCAGCTCAAGGCCAGAGGCCTTGTTTGCACATTTCCACAAAGCACCACACTGGATATGCTTGTGAAAAACTAGTAAGAGGGTGTCCAACACCTGGAGTGCTGGTACCCTTCCCCTCCCCCTGCACAGCCAGTGGCCAAGCAAAACAGGGCAACAGGAAAATGGAAAGTCCACCCACACTGAACTCCCCTGCAGAGACTCTTTTGCTGACAGTCCTAAAATCAGCCACTGGGAAGATTTCTGAAGAAGCCCAGCCAAGACCCCTCTGTGGAGAAAGGGGGGTGCCACCACATAGTAACAGTTTCAACTTCTCTTGCCAATGCTCCACTTAACATTTACAAGTTTTTACAAAATGTTGCCCTTGATGAAATGATACACTTTTAATTTATCAATTTGCACAGCAATTCATTCTAGGAAATTGTGTAGAGGTTTATACATGTATGGTTATTGCAACTTTCTCATTTGTTAAAGTAACTAACAGGAGACCATCTTTATAAACAGCTGGTTGCTTATAAATCTAACAGTCATTCCATAGATTGCTATGCAGAGCTAAAAAGAAAATCACCTGTATAATGTGCTATTCTAGAAGGACCTTCAAGAAGATTTTAAGATATAAATTGAACACTTTATTTCATTTATATTTTCTATTTGTTAGAATTTCTATTAATGGGGCTGGGGATGTGGCTCAAGCAGTAGCGCCCCCACCTGGCATGCATGCCGCCCGGGTTCAATGCTCAGTACCACATACAAACAAAGATTTGTGTCTGCCGAAAACTAAAAAATAAATATTAAAAGATTATTTTAAAAAAGAATTTCTATTAAATTTGGGGCAGCTGCAACAGATTAGATCATAATGTCTGCAAGAAATGGAAGTGAAGAAAACAACTAAGATAATGAATAGTATGATCAGATATATTGATCAAGGTGTCCATCACAGACACATGACATTGAAAACCATGATGGCATTTGCATTGGGAAAGTAAAGATAATGGACTCGCCCTTAAAGTAACAAGTGTAGATATAAATAATTGCATTTTATGAAGCATGGTGAACTGATATCCAGCCTGCTACAATGAGGTAATAAAGTTACTCTTCCAAGAACTGTTCCTTATATTCTCCGCCTTTCTTTAATGAAGCTGTACATCCTTGCCCTTGGAGCAATGTGGAAATCACAGTACAGTGTACGTGCCTCTTGCATGTGTACTGTCCTAAACCATCAGTTGAGTCTTCAGACCAACAAGGGCTGCGGCTCAGAGCTAAGAAACAAAGCCACAAGGCAGCACCAGCATATAGATCAAAAGTCCTGTTCCTACTGAAGCAGGTTTAATCACAGGTAACATCTCTACCTGAATGTCCCTTCTTAAAGAATCATTTGTCTGCAAGAGGGGAGGCAATGAGACCTAACAGGAAGTGTCAGTGTGTGCATCATGATAATTCCCCCCCACATACTCAGCCCATCACAACTATATCATGAAAATGCAGGTCAGAAGCCAACACCCTCACTGGCCACTGGAGAGGCCAGCTCAGCTCCAACAGGTATAAAGACATGGGAGAAGACACCAAAGCCAAAGATCAGGAGAGTGAGGCCAATGCAGTGCCAATGCAGAGCAACATCCAGTAAAGGAGAGAGGGCCTGAAGGGATGAGACTGAGTAGGAAAAAGGAACCTGCTAGCAGAGGTCAAGTACAGGAGAAGGGAGGAAAAGGCTCAAGAGGAGAAGCCCAGAGACTGCCTCCTCAATTCTGGAGACCTTGACCTCTGGCCAATGTTCCAGGCCCTTCTCTGCCTCAGGGCAGGCTGCCTCCTTCAGGGAATATTTTTTATTCTCTCTTACTCAACCTTATAGAGACTATGGGCTGACATATCCAGAAACAAAAATTAATCTGAAAAGGCTCACGAGAAACAAATCAGCAGGCCACAAGTAAACACCATAAAAAGTACTCTGCATTGCATTATTGTTCTAAGCCTTTTCAGGGGACTTTGCCTTTATGAGAACAGTATTTGTGTATCAATTCAAAAATACAAATTTCTGTAGTTTTTTTCATGAAAATAAAAGACATAAACTGAGAGAGCAGTTTACACGGGTTCATATTTGCTTTGAAGAGAAGCATTAATACATCGACACAGGTCTCCTTTTCCTAGTGAGGACAGTGTTTCCATAACCTAGTCCAAGTATTAGTCATCAACTTGGGTGATTCTGCAGTGTTAATCAACCAAAGGTATAGTCAGATTAGAACAAGAACATGGTCCCATTATGCAGGGTGGGGCGAGGGAGCTCATGAGGATGCCCTCCTCCTTGTCCACCACTTCTGCTCCCTTCCATAGCTCCTGGAGGTGCTTGTGTACTCCTTAGGTGAAGACATGGTACCTATTTTGTTAAGAGGCAGCTGAGGAGACTCTGGCAGTCACCATGGCAGTTGAAAACCCCAAAGAACGAGTCAAGATTGAGAACAACCATCATACTAACTTGAAGGTGCCAGGGCAGGATGGTTTTGTGGTGCAGTTTAAGACTAAGAGACTCTTAATAACCTAATGAAAGCCTATTGTGAATGGCAGGGTGTGTCAATGAGGCAGATCAGATTCCAATTTGATGGGCAGCCAATTAAAGCAACACACACACCTGCACAATTGGAAAGGGAGGATGAAGATGCAATTGATGTGTTCCAGCAGCAGACAAGAGGTGTCTACTAAAAAGGGAACCTGCTACTTTATTCCAAAGCTCTGTTCTTACAGACAAAGAACACATTCTCGATTGCAAAACTGCAATTTAGTTCCAGCTCATCCTGTCTACTACAGTATAGTCGTCTCTATTCTTTCATTTTCTGCTTCTCCATTCCTTTATTGTACATAATGTAACTGGTGTATTTGCACAAGCAAATTTCATTTTTAAGAAACTAAATGGCCAATGATATTTTTTGATTGAAATCCAATGGAAATGGATGGGGAAATACTGTTTTGTGAAAATATCCTCTTACTCTGTTAATGGCATGCTCATTCAACTCTTATCTTTATACTCCAATAAGTTATTTTGCTCTCACTGTTTTAACAAAAAACAAATTTAAAAAAGCCCCAGAGAACATAAAAACATGTGCATACCTTGTTCAATTGGAGAATTTTAATGTTTTTCATTTATCATTATAAAACCAAAGACAATTCATAACTTTTTGGTACATAGCTGTTACGTGTAAGGCAATCTGTCTTTAAGAAGGAGTAAATTACTCTTTAAAAAAAAAAATTACCATCCAGGCAGTGGCACAAGTCTGTATGTAATCCCAGCGGCAATGGAGGATGAGACAGGAGGATAGCTAGTTCAAAGCCAGCTTCAGCAATGGCGAGATGGCGAGATGCTAAGCAACCCTGTCTCTAAATAAAATACAAAACAGGGCTGGGGCTGTGACTCAGTGGTGGAGCGCCCCTGAGTTCACTCCCTGGTACCCACATCCCTTCCCCCCTAAAAAATTTCTAGTTTTCCCTTCAAGTCAAACATCTTGTTTAAATAAACCTCTTGTTGCACGCACACAGACACACACACACACACACACACACACACACACACACAACTGTGACAGCCCGGAATCTTGAAGGAGTCGCTGACTGCTATACCAAACAGCATGGAGGGCGCAGGACCTGGCTAAGTGCACTTCTCTGCCTCAGCTCCTGGTCCAGGTTCCGGGCTCCTTGAGTGAGCCTGCTCCTCGCCCACCTCCCCACCGAGAACAGCAACAGTTGCCTGGCAGGACGTTACCACTAGATACAAAACTGCCATGCTTTTTTTGAACACACATTTAAGAAGAAGAGAAAAAACAGCAAAACTCGACTGGGAAAGTACTAAGTCAAATCTAAAATGCCAAGATCAAGATTAGGCTGGGCCCAGTGAGGCACAGCCATAATCCCAGCAGCTCAGGAGGCTGAGATAGGAGAATCAGGAGTTCAAAGCCAGCCTCAGCAACAGCAAGATGCTAAGCACCTCAGTGAGACCCTATTTCTAAATAAATACAAAATAGGACTGGGGATATGACTCAGTGGTCAAGTGCCCCTAAGATCAATCCCTAGTAGCACCCCCACCAAAAAAAAAAAGAAAGATTTTTAGATTAATATTTTGGGTTTTGCTCATAAAATTTTTGCATTGGTACCAACAATAGGTATTTTCATATAAATATTTAATTTCTTACTTGTTGCTGTTAGTCATTTTGAAAGCTTAAAATGTGTGAAGAACCAGAGCAAAATTTCATCATCATTAAACCACAAACTTGACTAATAGGCAAAAAAAGTAGGAAAAACTGTACTGGAAGATCTACAAATTCCCACAACCAGCTAGAAATAATTTTAGAAAAAGCATTTTACTATAAGCTCACAGATAGAGACTCTTGAAAAAGAAGAATTAGTATTACTTTCTTGCCTTTCACCTTTTGGTCAGACTTGGTCAGTGAGAGGAGCAAGACAAGTCAATCTACATAATTTAAACGGTCTCCTTGTGCCATACAGGTCAGGTTTTTTGCTTGTTTTTGGTTTTGTGTACATCAAACCTCTGCCCTTACTCTCTTAGTCAGCTTTCTATCTTTCTATCACTGAGACAAAATATTAAGAGAATTAATATATAAGGCTCCCAGTTTAGGAGGTTTCATTGCTTTGGGGGCCTGTGGGCAAGGCAGCGTACCATGGTAGGAGTACAGAACTCTCAGTAGTTCCCCCAAGGCATCCCCCAATCTTAAAGTTTTCACCAAGTCCTAACAGTGCCACACTAGGGCCAAATCTTTAACCCAGGGGCTTTGGGGTACATTCTAGATCCAAACTATAGTACTGGTGCATGCTAGGCCAGTGCTGTGCCACTGAGCTTTATCTCCAGTCCCCATGTCAACTGGAAATAGTCTCACTTCTGAATCAAACAATATTTTTTATTATACTGCTTAAATACGATGGTAAGAATTCTTTTTGAAAACTTTTGGGTATGTGTCTTATTTCATTATAAAAATTTAATTGTGTACCAAATGAATATAACATTTTTCAGAATAACATTAATCAGAAATAAAAACATAAGATGAACAACTACAGCACATAACTTAAAAATATAGAATATTTTTCTCCATAGAAATTTCTCGTACATAGGTAACTAGAAGTGTAACTGAAGTTGTGAGATATGTGCATTTCAGTTTATTGAAAAAAAAAAATCTAAATTGTCTTCCAAGGTACATTTATTAATGGCATTTGCTTCTGTATTATATGAGTTTGTGTTCTTCCAGCACAGACTTTGCCAGCACTTAATAGGGCCCAATTTCGGCATATTTTGCCAATCTAGTGATTCTTAATGTTTTCTCCTTGTGGTCCTAATTTGTCTTGCCCAGATTAATGAAATAAATTGTCTTTTAATAGAACAAAAAATGACCCAAAGAAAATTAAGTGACCTGTCAAGATGATATGCATTGGTTTTACCACCTAGATCTTCTGCTGCAGTTTACTTCTTGGTATGATGAGCCAGGCACTACACTTAGACTACTGTATGCACTATTTTAATTGAAATGTGCAACAGTATTTCAAGGTAGACTCTCCTTACACCTATTTTATAAATAGGGAAATAAAATATCTGGGAGAGAGATTGAGGAAACATGGGCACCCACATCACTCACAGACACAGGTCTTGAAATCCAGGCTGAGTCTGGAACCCATGTTTCAAATCACTACTGATCTTACTGTATTTTTGGGAACTGTGTATGGAGATATACAGGTAAAGCTGTATAGATATACTGTACCTAGGTATATATTATGAATCAATAAGCAAGATATAACATTATTTTTGTAGATTTTCAAACAATAACTAAAATGGCATTTCAACTGCAGAGTACACAGGGGGAACAGAAGCAGGACACCCATTGTTTCTTCTTTCTACTGTACCTTCTCTACCACAGGAACCATAAGAGCTAGATGCTATATTTCCCAGACTCCTTTGCAACCTAACTCCTGGAGGTGCCTTTAGATTCTGTCAATCAAATGTGGCAGAACTGGAGCAGAGGCCAGGCATCTGTTGTTCCTGCTGCCACAATGGTTTCTTGGCTGTCCGATTAACAGAGGTCCTGGGCTGTGGTCACTTGCTGAGAGCCACGGCAGAGTCTGTATGGCCCCTGGCATTTTGCCAACAGTATTGATTGACAGGCGAGGCATTACTATCCGCCTGTGCCGCAACTTTTGAGTTCTCGCACTATTTTGGAGTTCTCTTGGGATTCCCCGAGAGTTCCCATTGGTTGGGGAAGTGCAGGAGGAGGGATTTCCGGGAGAGATATTTCCGGCTGGGGGTTCCTGGAGGAGCCGGGTGGTGTTAGGGAGGATTCCCCTGGGAGCTGTGTGAAGTGTTTTCCTGCAGTTCAAAAATAAAGTTTGTTCCTGCTTCAGTGCCTCGAGATTTGTGCCCAGCCAGACTGTGGCAGTCACTGGCTTGAAAGGATTGAGAGCAGGGCCTGTGGCATCCATTCTGAGGGTACAGATACTTACAGGCTCAGTGTGATTCCAGAGCCAGCAATAGAGCTGTGGCTATTGTGGTGAGATACTGATTATGGTGGTTTCCTAGCCTAACATGATGGCTTCCTAGTTGTGATAGATTGGTATGGTTATGATGTCAGCGGTCTTTTGATCAGCAAAGGGGCACCTCTCTTAGTGACTCATGCAGGTTTGGATAGCTTTCTGGGGCAAAGCAAGAAGATATTGAAGTTCACGACTTGCCAAAAGCAGGGACCAAAATAAATTCCTTGCTGAAGGACTGGATCCTCAGAGGAAGGGTGAACTGGAGGAAAACCAGTCTTCAGACAGACTGCAGTCCAGCTGCAAGGTTTCTGCATGGCCCCAAATATCTTAACTCCTGAAATGGAAATAAGTAATTCTGGACTTATGGTCATGAAGCAAATTAGAGTGGTTCTGGAGGAAGGAAATACATAAACTTCAAATTCTTTCAATGGCAACTTTTAATACAGCATATACCTCACAGAGACCATGATAATCAAGCATATATAACAATATGAACGAGAACCAGCAGAAATGTACAATAGAAACAGAAAATATACAGAAACTATAGATCAGAATTCTAACAAAAGTCTAGTGCATGTCACAAATGTAATTTAAAACTTTCTAGTAACAACATTAAAATGGTAAAAAATAATTTGTAAATATTTTTTCTTTAACTCAAAATATTTTAACTGATATTTTTATTTAATCCTGATGATTTCAACACATACTCACCACAGGCCACATCATCACGTCCTCTCACAGCCCAAGCCACCTTCTTCCCATCAAAGTGCTACCAAACAAATGATGAATCCAGGATCTGTGAAAAAAATAGGCATTGCTTGCAGTGCACTTGGACTCAACCATAGAACACTAATGGCAGGGACACTGCATGTTATAACCAGGAAGATGCATCTATTGACCAAGAGTGGAGACCAAAACTGTTGTAAGAAAGAATTCCTGCAAAATAAGAGCAGAGAAAGGAAGAGTTCAAATAGTACTTGGTAAGGAAGTTCTACAAGCTGAAATCATACAGAAGGCAAGCATATTCCTTTGAGATAAGGATTACTGATATAAAGAGATACAAAATATTCTGACCGTAACAAAAATGGATAGCATCCTTTGAAAGGAGCAAACTTTTAATATCGTGGGAAAATAAAGAAAAAATACCTTCTGCATAAAAAATTAGAAAAAGGAAAATA